CCTTCGATCTTTGGAACAGACACATCAACATCTCCCTTCATTTTGGGCCCCTTTAGACCAAGATCCCACTCTGGAAGTTTGGGTCCCGTAAGTGATGGCATTTTAATCTTGGGTCCTTTGAGTTTTGCATCAGGACCTTCAATGTCAATGTCTGTCCCTTTAATGTCAACCTCAGGTACGTTAACATCAATATTAGCTTTTGGAAGGTTTACATCCACATCTGGACACTCCAATTTTGTGCCTTTAATTTTAGAAGAAGGCATTTTTATTTTTGGCATTCCAAATCCACCCTTGGGCCTTTCAATATCAATCTCTGCAGCTTTGATATCAATACCAGGTGCTTTCATGTCTCCTTCGATCTTTGGAAGTGCAACATCAACACCACCTTTAGGAGTGGAACCTTTCAGATTGAAATCCACACCGGGCATGGAGAGTTTTGGTTCTGAAACACTTGGCATGTTGAATCCAGGCCCTTTGAGTTTTGCATCAGGACCTTCAATGTCAACCTTAGGTATGTTAACATCTATATTAGCTTTTGGAAGGTTTACATCAACATCTAGACCCTCCAATTTAGGACTCTTGATCCCAAAGTAAGGCATTTTGATTTTTGGCATTTCAAATGCACCCTTAGGCCCTTCAATATCAATCTCTGGAGATTTGATTTCAACACCAGGTGCTTTTATGTCTCCTTCGATCTTTGGAAGTGACATATCCATATCACCTTTAAATCTGGGCCCTTTCAGATTTAAATCCACATCTGTTACATTGATATTTGGTCCAGAGATTGTTGGCATTTTAGGTTTAGGTACCCTGACCTTACCACTAGAACTCTCAATGTCAACATCTGGTCCTTCGATTTCAACACATGGTGTTTTAATATCAGTGCCAGCATTTGAAAGATTAATGTCAACTTCTGGCATTTCAGCCTTTGGTCCTTTGAAACCAAATTTTGGCAGCTTGAATTTTGGACCTTTAGTTTTTGGACCAGTCAGTCCCAGGTCAACATCAAGACCTTCAGAGCTTCCATTCTTTTCCTTGATGCTGATGTCCCCTTGTACCATTTTCACATCAGTCTCTGGGGCCTTTACTTTTGGTCCCTTAAATCCAAACTTTGGCATTTTAAATTTAGTTTTCTTTGTCCCAATCTCTGGAACATCAACTGTTACATCAGGCCCATCAATTTTTGGAACTGACACATCCACATCAACGCTGTGTTTGGGAGCTTTTGGGTTAAAGTCGACATTTGGCATGGATATCTTCGGTCCTGAAACTTCTGGCATGTTGAATTTGGGACCTTTGATTTTTCCACTCTTACTTTCAATGTCAATTTCCAGTCCTTTGACATCCAACTCAGGGGATTCAATACCAAATGTTGGCATTTTGATTTTCGGCATTTCAAATCCAACCTTGGGCCCTCCAATATCAATCTCTGGACCTTTGATATCAACATCAGGTGTTTTGATGTCTCCTTCAATCTTTGGAACTGACACATCCACAGCACCTTTGAGTGTGGGCCCTTTCAGTAAGGGTAATTTGATGTCAATGTCAGAAGCTGGAACATCAACCTTCGCTTTTGGAAGGGACATATCACCATCTGGGCCCTCTATTTTTGGACCCTTTATGTTGAGTGAAGGCATTTTAAATCCACCTTTTTTGCCCTCAATATCAAATCCTTCTCCTTCAATGTCCACGTCCGAAGCTGTTATGCCTCCTTCAATCTTTGGAAGTGAAGCATCCACATTTCCCTCAACTTTAGGACCTTTTAGTTTAATGTCAAGATTTGGGATCTTTGGACCTTTAACAGTTGGAATTTTGAATTTGGGTCCTGTAACTTTTGCATCAGGGACTTCGATGTCAATCTGTGAGGCTTTCATGTCAGCATCAGGTACTTTCCCATCAATTGTAGCTTTTGGAAGATTTACATCAACATCTGGACTGTCCAATTTTAGACCTTTAATGTTAAAAGAGGGCATCTTCATTTTCGAGATTTCAAAACCCCCCGTAGGCCCTTCAATATCAACTTCTGGAGTTTTGATCACAACATCAGGTGTTTTGATGTCTCCTATCTTTGGACCTGACACATCCACATCACTTTTTAGTTTTGGATCTTTGAGTTTTTTATCCAAACCTTGTATGGAGATGCTTGGTCCTGATATTGTTGGCATATTCAATTTAGACCCTTTGAGTTTTGGTCCTTCAATATGTACCTCTGGTGATTTGATGTCAATGTCAGGATCTTCAACATGAATGTTAGCTTTGGGAAGGGTTACATCAATATTTGCTTCTTCAATGTCCACCTCAGGAGCATTTATGTCTCCCACATCTTCTTTGACTTTTGGAGCATGTAGTTTGATGTCAACACCTGGCATCTTTGGTCCTTTTATGGATGGCATATTAACTTTAAATCCCTTGATTTTTGCATCAGGGCCTTGAATATCTGGTGCCTTAGATGGCATTTTGATTTTAGGCATTTCAAATTCACTATTCGGCCCTTCAATGTCAACCTCTGGACCTTTGATGTTAATCCCAGGTTTTGTTCTGTCTCCCTCTCTCTCACTAGCTGATACATCCATATCACCTTTGAGTTTCAAACCTTTGCCACTTAAATCTACTTTTGGCACGGAAACATTCAGTCCCGAAAACACATTGAATTTTGATCCTGTCATAGTACCACTGGGGCTCTTAATGTCAACATCCCTTGTTTTAATGTTAATTTCAGGAGCTTTCATAATATTGTCCGCTTTTGGAATGTGAACTTCAACTTGTGGCCCTTCAACCCTTGGACCTTTCATTCCGAATGATGGTGTTTCAATTTCAGGCATTTTGCGTCCCTCGTGACTTTCAGGGTTAACAATTGGACCTCCGAAATCCACTTGAGGTGCTTTTATTTTTCCTTCAATCTTTGGCTTTTTTATATCCACATCTCCTTTAGCTTGTGGACTTTCAAGTGTGATATCCACAGCTGGCATCTTTGTTCCTTTAATGGATGATATGTTAATGTTTGGACCTTCCAGTTTTGCATCAATTACTGGAGGTTTAACATTCATTTGACCTACTTTCATTCTTGGTACAGTCACATCACCTTCAAGTTTTGTGTCTTTCAGACCACTGGGTCCAGCTTCATGTCCCTCAATGTTAATATCCAATTTTGGGATATTAACGTTTGCATCTGATCGATCTATATCAACTTTGTCCCCTTTAATGCTAACCACAGTTGTTTTGACATCAGTGTCTGGTGCTTTAATGTCAATTTCAGGTTTGGTTCCTTTGATTTTTACATCAGTGCTTTCAAAATCAACTTTTGGTGCTTTAATAGCAACCCCATGAGCACCAAATGATGGAATCTTTATCTGAGGCATTTTGAAATCCGTTTCATTTCCCTCAATATTTACATCTGGACCTTTGAAGTCTACTATCGGTGCCTTAATTTCTCCCTCAGTCTTTGGCACACCACTTACATCCACACCTGCCACTGAAATCTTGGCAGGCCTTGAGGAATATCCAGAGGTAACATTACCTATTGTTATTGCTGATCTGCCACCTCGCAACTCAGTATCAATATCAATGGAACCTCCGCCATGTCTGACATTCGCAATTTCAATACTACCTGATCCCTTTGCTTGTGGGGGATTGATGGCGATTTCAGATACCCTAACCTTTGTTCTCCCACCTAAACTGGTGTCAAGACTTTCCTCCTGTGTTTTATCATTTGATGTAGTCAAAATCTGCATTCCTTTCCCTGGTACAGACAGACTAATTGATCCTCCATTCTCGTCTGCAGCAATTACCTCTGCACTTCCTAACCCTCCTATTGTAACATGCTTATTCCCAGTGTTTGTGCTGTCTCTTAGTGTCATGCTTGCTTCAGACAACTGAGTGTTTCCATCTCCTGTCTCTCCACTTCCTCTTGAGATCTCAAAACCTGCCTGGCTACCACCGGTTATTCCAAAGTTTTGTCCTTTAAATCTGAGACCTGCGCTTCTGTCTTTTTCTATCTCTCTTGTATTTGTTGTGGTCTTAATAGCCCCACTGCCCCATCGTGTCTCTGTGGAGCTAACATGTGGCCCAGTGTAAGAGACATTGCCTGACTCGAAAACTCCCTCTTCTATTCCCTCTTTACCTGAAGGGCTGCCATGTGAGATTCTGAAACGAGGAGATCCATCTGCAGATTCGTGCCTTGGCCCCTTGAACTCTGGGCTTGAAACTTCAGGTTGCTCACTTATGCCACTCGGCATATCCACTGTGTAGGTAGTAATGCGGCGGGTGATGGTAGTAATCGTGCTGCCATCACTGCTTGTGCTGCTGTGCCGCTCTGTACGAACATCTACTCCTTCTGCAAGGTCCTCAGACTTCAGCCTTGGTTTGATTTTTTTTGTGTATATTCTCTTATAGTCTTCATCATCCCCACTCTGTAAAACATAAGAAGACATTCAGCATTGAATGCATTTTGTTTTATTAGATTCCATTTAAAAAGTCAGATATCATATTATCAAAAAAAACCTTACAAGGATGATGTCTGGACTAGAACCTCCAAACCGGGTCTTCCCTTCCCATGTCAGTGTACCCATTGGTGAACGACATGGTGTGCTCAAGGGCGAGCAGCAAGGGGATTTGTCTTTGTTTTGTAGTTTCAGTCCAACCTTGTGGCGGTTCAATGTCTTTAGCAGCTCAGCTGTTTCTTCTGAGCTCATGTTATCAAAGTAAATAGTGGCTCCCACAATTTGGTCACCTGTGAATTAAATGGAGGCAGAACCAAAAAAGTCTATTAAGAATACTAGTGATGACTTTGAACACTGGTCAGGTAAATCTTAATTCTTTATTCAAAATTCTACCTTCATATACTTTTCCAGACCGCGCTGCAGGTGACTCTCCTTTCACCTCCTTTACAAAGATGTCTCCGTCACTTGACTGTTCAATGGTCAAGCCAGTTTTGTCTGGACCCTCCCAGTCTGGAAAGAGCACTTCCCTGGTTTCTTCCTCTTCAGCCATCTAGGGTTTGAAAGAAAACAAAACAGAAGGTTGCTGAGACAAATGTATGCATTTGCATCTAGGTATAAAAGAGAAATATATAACATTGTAAACTTATTGCGACCTCATAAAATACCTTTTTTTTTGCTTTCCGCTAGTGCAGCCCTGGTGCACGGGAAACTCTTCCTGGGTTTTCCCTACATAAAGAAAGCACAGCAATAATCATCTAACAAAACAAAATTGTGACAACCAAAAAAAAAAACTTCACTTTACACATAGAGTATTTAATTCCAAACTGTTAATTCTCCATCTACCTTTCCTGATGCTGCTCTGAAGGTGGGTCTAGCATGTAGAACCCAATATTGAACACTAGATGGTGTTAAAATCCTGTCAGACAATAGAGCCTCTAACCCCCAATACACTAAACCATTCACTCACTCCCTCCTAGGTGCTTTGTTCTTTATGGTTTCAGACCACACCCTGCCCAGAGGATAGCAGCCGATCCTGTGCCTACGACCCAGCCCCAATAGCAATACAGACAACAATGATTTAAACTGTCTTGCTTTTGGAAAACACACAGGGGTGCACACACACACACACAGTACATCGACATTTTACCACACACCTTCTCATTAACAAACATTCACATCCACAGACAGTACTCTAATACCACAACAGGTACACATTTGTTTAAGCTCATATACACAATGCAAACCAAAGCTTCTTTGGATGCTCATTAATGACAGCGACACATCACTTTTTGTCTATTTGTGATTATTGTATTGATGAAATTCACTGTTTCAAGAAGATCATGTTTGTTTTCACTATTGTTAGAACTTTGAAACATGCTGACTAATATCCACTCTCATCTTTGGAGTACACAATCTATTGTTTCATTAATAAAAAACTCTGCACAACCCAACCATTCAATTATGCAATGTGGTCTGAGCTATATGTCACCTAACAAGCAATGGTTGACATTGCATTCTGCATTCATTTGGCATTTGCCCATTTTCCAAACATAGAAAATTAGCAAATTAAGCTTACGTTTCTTCTTTAAAGAACATGCATTTTAACAAATGAGAATTTTAGAAAAAAAATTATGCTTTCACTAGTTTGCTAGGACATAAAATTTTGCAAGTTTGTGTGTGATATTATTTTTATTGCATTTGTACATCAAAATGTCAAAGCAGATTGTTTGGAATGCCGTGCAATTTGCAAACTGGTCTCAGGACCCTGTTCAAGGACACAGATCACATAATAAACCACTTAAGGCAAGTCAATAAATAGACTGGTCCTGCATGGTTGGGAATACTGGAAATACTTGCAATGCTTTGATGTAATATTAAGAGTTTGCCTTTCGCAGACATTGAAGACTTAACAGGACAGGCCAGGGACACTAACCATGATAATACCAGAGACATGGATGACTTTCATGTCAAAGATGATGGTAAGCACTAAAAGGCATCCACAAACTGATCTTCTTCCCATCCATTAATTTAATTTGTCGGCTAGTATGACTTGACTGAAGCTTGAAACAAATCTTTTCAAGACCTCAGTATCCATCACATTAAATGCATCAAATACAGCAGAAAAGTCAAAATGGGGCTGGGGTGGTGAGGGGTTTGGGTCCACCTTTTCCAATTAACTCATAAAGATCAATGCTGACACTGGAAGGAAGGAACTTAGGGGGAAGATGGAAAGAAATGGAAATTGTAAAAAAAAAAGGAAAGTTAGCTTGATAGAAAGTGAGCAAACGGGGGTGGTATGGTTGTGAAATGGCTCTGTAAAATGTTAGCATACACATCAGCAGAGAAGAACAGGTAATGCAGCCAAGTAGACCTGAGAATTTGGGACCGAAGAGTCATTGATGAGTCTTCTTAAAATGTTTAAAGTACTGCATGGGGCATCCTGAATATTCCCAATCCATTCATTCATTCTTGTATAAACTTTGTCTCAAGTGAGCCCTCTTTTTAAACAAGCTTAGATTTTGCCATAACATGGCAGAAATTAGTTTAGAGAAAAGATTAATCCAAATAATAATCCAAAAACATCATATGATTAGATTTAAGATTTAGGGTTGTGTTGTAAACAGATGCTAAATAAATAAGGCTCTGTTCTTGAGATCATAAGATGGTCTGCTACTCAAAGCGATCAGGCAACAAGACAATTAACCAGTCCTCTATTCTTTCCCTTTCATTTCTCTGAATTCCATGTCAGTCAGGGACATTCCTGGCATCACATGTCCTTGAATTTGATTAGTGATGTCATCTGAAACATATTTAGAGGACACACAAAGTAAGAATTTTGGAAAAAGGTGTGTGTATGTGTATTGAGCTAGGGGAGATAAGGGGACAGTAGGGGAAACAAAAGCTTCTGTTAAGCAGAGTGCAACCACAGAACATTTCTGGATAAGCCTCTCTTATGACGTGTTATTGGCCTACAGAGGCTGGTTTCAGCTAGCTTGCTATGCTGACTACAAACAATGTGCTCTTGGCGGGCTTTTGGTAAAGTTGTTTCATAAGAAGGGGAAAGGGGTCCGATTAGAACAGGTGGTCACTGGGGAAGAAGGAGGGGAGCAAGAGGAGGCACAGGGAGTAGAGGCAGAGAAGTGTCAGGTTTCTACAAGACATGCCTTTCACAGCTGAATGACAGTGGCATAACCTTCCAGGTTCAGAATAGGCTTTTTAACAAACATTAAAACAGAGGTTTGATGTCTGTGTAGTGAATGTGTGTGAATCTTTTGCATCAAGTCTAAGGACACTTACCTTGGATTGCTCAAGCAATGCCAAGGGCTTCAGTCTGCTGCTGTGTTTTTTCTTTCTTGACTTCTGCTGACAAAAACAACAAGGAGATTGTTGAGTTGAGTTTGGTTACAATGATTTAACAAATCAAATTATCATTGACAATACAAAGTAAATATATCCTGAATTCATCATCCAGCTCTTGTGCAAAAACACAATGTTTAAGGGTACAGGTGACTATTGCATTGAGAGCTGTGTCCCCATATGAAATAGCGCCACATTCAATCAGTATTTACTTGCTGTATTTTAGTGTATATGCTCAATGGACCTTCCATAATTAATCAGAGCCATCACAGTCTAATAATTAACCAACCAATAGTAACGTTGACACCAGCAAGTGATTATGCAAAAACACCCTTTAAATTAATGCATTCAGGTTCTTATTTGGCATGGCTGCAGAGGAGGAGGAGGTAGGCGGACACACTAACACACTATATATCCAGGGTTTTGTTAAGCAAATGCAGGTGTAGAGGAATTGTTAAGGAAATATTTTCTAAAATATGTATGTGAATGCCTCTGTCCTACTTATATTGCTCGACTAAGTGAGAAGCATAGCATGTTGTTGCAACTGTATTCATTGTGTGGATACTATGTTTTAATTCTGCATTCCAAGTCATTGTTACTTTTACCCGCTGTAACTACCTCAAAATCTTACAAGTATTATTGCTTCAACCCACTGACTTTACTGTGAAACAAAGCCTTCTTATTGTCAGTCTCAGCATGAACAGAACCAGACTTGATGTGTATAGAGACAGGCATCTACCGGTGGGAACATGTCCCTCAGAAAAAATCTTCTCAGACAGGCTTTCCAACCCCATCATTAACGTCCCCCTCTTCTGTGCCCTATTTTAACTACACTAAAGTGCTCATTACCATGATGAAAATTATGCCAAATCACTGTGTTAGACAGTGAACCCATTTCTAAACAGTCAGGCTTTAAATACCTATGCCAAACACTTAATGCAGTAGAGAGAAAGTGAGCAAATCCTTTAAAAGCTGTAATATTGGAGACGAGGGAGCTTGTAAAATGCTTTTGAGTTTTGCCCAAGAATGCCATGTTTTTGACTGCCTTTTTAAACTGGTCCTAGACCGAAATGGATGGGACAGAGCAGAGATAAATGCCAGCTAGTATGTGGGTGTCATTATGTTTGTGTAGAGAGACTTGTGCCACAGCAGCTGTGTACACTCTCTGGCACATATTCTAGTTACAGAGACACATTCATCAGACGATTGTGTTGGAGAGTCATTCAGGTACACAGTCTACTGAAGGACATTTTTTTAAAAGCTTTTGTTAGACATGAGTGAGAACTGGCCTATATCAGAGATTATCCCAAGCAGAATTAGATAAATTGTATTTGACATATCTGTAAAAAGAGACATTACTTATTTTGTTGGTTGAATTTTCTTATAGATGTGGTGACTTTAAAAAAATATCATGAAAGAAAAAGCAATTGTAGTTGAATGCATGGGAAATATTTCACAATAGCCATATCTGAGTAAACATACTCAAAAGATTAAAACTAGGTTGCCACACCTTGTGTACACACCTTGCTGAGACAACATACATAAACACACACACACACACACAGTGAAATATGGTCACCACCAGTAGGGAAAGGAAATAGAATCATATGCTGTTGTGAAGAGTAGGAATACCACAGTCCACGAGGCGGACCTCTGTGCTGTGCTTACAGAGGGAGCAGCTCAGTGCACAGCCCCTCCCAGGCCTCCAGTCACACACATTCCTTGATAGAGTCGTCAGTCCAGCTGGAAGGGAGCCCAGCCTCTCCCCACAGTGACTAACTCCGAAGAAATGTCCAATTTCTCTCTAACTGCCCACCCTGCACCCTGAGTGCCCACTCCCCTGCAGTCAGTTCACCACACTCTCCCCTCTATAGGTTCTGCTCAAATAAACAAAAATGCCACGTTCAGTCAGACATGCACCTTTGATTGCATCCTGAAACACACACCCTAAAATGAATTCTGAGATGATAAGTTGAATGAATCCCATTTTCATCATCCATATCATCATCAATATAATCACTTCAGCTAGCATTTGGTTGATGAAACAAATAACAGTCTACACCTCACTACTATCTATATCCATATATTCCATAATATTCTTCTTTGAATTGAAGGCACAAACCTGAATGTCAGACTTTTTTAGTTTGCTCTTAAGAAGGTCGCAGCACACTGGATATTGTTCAAAGTGGTTGTAGTCAATTAATCTGCTTGACTGCCAAATCCAATAGAATTAGTGGACAGAAAATAGGAGCAGTGTGACAATGATTAAAGCTCAATCATAAGTGAATCAGGCACAGCTGTGCTGGTGAATGATACGATTTGATTAGGAGCAAATAAAAAGGCCTCAGTGTAGAAAGAGAAAAGGGAGAGAGGAGCAGTAACCAAATCAATGGTGTTGTCAAACCAAAACAGACCATCTGTTCCCGACTCTGCATTGTAGTTTGACTCAGCAAGTGCAATAAACACAAAAAGAGACACAGCAGGCCCCACCGTGGGTTCTCTCATCCCTCAAACCGGCAGATAGGACATGCATGTGTGACGCATATAAAAGGAATTTGCCTCAAAATAAATGCTTCTTTTTTGCACTCCATAGTCCACATAGCCCTAAACCAAACCACAAGTCCTGCAGAAGACCAAAGCCTGCCCACTGACGCCAACTTGGCCTGTTGCTGATTATGCTATTGTGACTTTGGCAGGAGTCGTTCAACAAATGGAAAAACTAATGAAAACCCCTAAAACACTCTTCTCTTGCTTTTATGAGATCACAAACAAGACCAGGAGTTGTGCTGAGAGAACATTTCCACAATACCTTGATTTCCATGTAAATTATACATCTTCATCTTAAGTTCACAAAAGCACAGTGGCAGAAAGTCTGAATACTGTATGAAGTGGTAAGTGCCAGATAACTCATGGCTCCTGTTATGACTCATTGTTCTCTGTTACTTCCCTAAATATCTAATGAGGGATGATCTCAATTTGAATTTCCTCTCCCAGGGTGTATTCCATTTTTTCTTTCTGTGCTTTAGAGGGAAATTTTTACTTGTCATCCAACGATCACAACCTGTAACTGTGGAGCACCATGTAATCATTTTACGGCATTACATGTTATATTGGTCAATACAAAAAGGTGACTTAACAATTGAAATAGCACAACAGTAACTATTTGCAAAAGTTAGACATGAATAAAGCTGAAGTTTTGAAATGAGAAGTGATCCTGGACTGGGTCTTATGGGCAGTTTCAGAGTCAAAAAACAGCACATGAAATATAGGATGAAGAAAAACACAGCAATATATCTGATGGTGACATATATGGCATAAATAGTTGAACTAGAGTGAGAGAAAGTGAAATAGGGTGAATTTTTTACAGCTCTGTCACATACTTATGATATCATTTGAGGTTTGCAGACATCCATAACAGCCTTATATAGGCCCTGACTGACCTTAACTCAATTTAATTTGGCAATTTGGTCAGGATTTGTTTCAGTCTACAGCTGTTGTTTGAACAAGAACAAATGCAAGTCCATTCATGGAGCAGGAGGCAAGAAACTTAAGAGGAGGGCTAGATGGATCCAATGGCAGCAGAATGTGTATATAGACAGATAATTACCTTAGCTAGTTGTATAACTTTAAGCATATGCATTCGGTTAGTGACTGTATTCACACCACACCAGTGTAGAGTTGTTTAGAACACATGCATGTTGGATTCTGAGGAGTGCAGTCCTTGAGAATCTTGTGCCAGATAAAGAAAGCCTAAACAAAGCTGCATTTCTAAATTTACATTCCATGTCCTGCTGCCCTGACATTTTGTGTGCCTCATTCCAAAGTGATTCTTTGTAACAGATGCTACATGTCAACCCTTTTGCATGGCAACATAATAGTGTTTGAGGGGGGTGGGGTGCAGGTTAGACAGTAAGTGGGCGGACACCAGGCAGTGCAGTACCGCAATAGTTATGTAAGTCTTATTGTTTTTGGATTGTTTTGTAGCACATATGTTTGGCGGCGCACCGGTGAAAGTTACTTATTTATCAGAAAATTATTTTCATCCATTTTTTAAAATTCCATGCTCACTAAAGTCACACCAAGCTTGAAGCTAAAATGAAGTGTGAATTTATTTATGCATAGGCATGGGTGGGTATTCAGTGTGACTTGTGATCTGTCTCATTTTACCTCTCAAACCACTATCAAACACAACAAGGCAGCCGGTGCTAATTGATAGGCACTCCATAGAGCATACTGAGGAAATGCTGAAACATTCCAAACCAGCAGTGGATGGATGAGAAGGGAGTGGCTGCTGAGTGGATTGCATAGAAAGACTAAAATCGCACTCTACTGTTTGATGTTTATTTGCAGTTGTAAGAAAAGTAAACTTCCCTCACTGGTACAGTTGTGTATCTACATGTTCCCAATTGTTTTATTTAACCAGTCTTTAGGGTGGGACTTCAGTGAGTCAACTAGGACTTCCGGATGTCCAAGAGCCTAGCTTTGCTTCTGGAAAAAAAGCTATAGTTTTTATTTCATTCACCCTCCCCTCTTTCAGTTTATTCATTACATCCACCTCTCTTTGCCCATCCATGTGGTTCCTCCTTCCAACCACCCAATCAACAAACCCATGAGGAAATGGGAGAGGAAGTGTGCGAGAGACCAGTTTCTTTCCGTTTCACACTGGCATGGTGAAATGCTTTGATAAATATTTTTGACATGATCGGACTGAGGTTCTAAACTGTTGTGACACATGGCCTTTACTTCAGGAGAGTAAAGATGCTATTTATCACATGGTTGGCAAGTGCAACAAAATAATCAATAATGTCACAGCGGGATATCTGCCATGATGACTGAGCAAGATTTTATCGATAAAGCTTCTTCAAAATTTCAGTGTGGTTTTTTTAACATTACAAATGTATGGCATTCATTTAAGTGACATCTTGCAGTAACATAGCCTCAACATTGCCACAGTGATAATATTAATGTATTTAAATAAACAGTATTAATAACATAAGGCCGAACTAAGCATTTTAGCAGCACACAGTCAGGAACCCTTTCTGAAAATTTCCTTCCTTGAAACATTAGTTCTGTATTTATTCTTGCAGTAAAACACTCTACCTGTTGTAACTCAGTACGTGCCATGTCATCACCAGGTAAAACATGAATGTTTGAAATGTTTTGAACACTAAACATATTTTAACTTAAATGACAACCTACTACCCAAAGACCTTGTGGCCCTCTAGACCATTTGGCTTTTTAAGCAGTCTGTGTCACAATCAATCACCTTGACAAGTGAAATTTGAGAAATGCCAGACACTCACAGCTATAGGGCATTAGGCATGAGTTAAGTGTGCATTTTAGAAAAGTCTGTGCAGAGCAAAAAGCAGCTCTCTCTAACACTCCTCTAAATGACTCTTGGGTGTGGCTGAGGCAGAGAGCTGTGGAGGACAGGCAACTGCACACAAATAAATTTGACTTTCAAGTAAGATTCAACGAAGGATTATGCCTGTTTTTATCGGCTTTTTCCTGTACATGAACATATGCACTTGAAATGCAGACCAGACGATGATGATTCTCGTTTGAACCACACCTAGAAAGATGCCGTTTATGCATTAAAAATATATAAACAGCAGAAAAACAAAAATCTTCAACTTCTGGCTTTATAAAACAAATTTCTCTCTTTCTGCAAATGTGTGAAGTTTTTTGGTCCCCCTCTACGCCTCAAGCCTGTTTTCAATTAGCTTGTCCTTCCAAACCACTACATTCCATTACTCCCCTCCTCGCCCCCGCCCCGCCCATCCCCCTTCACTAACTCAGTCTCTGGCTATTCCCCCCCTGCTCTTCGTCTCCTCACTCTCCTCTCCTACACACTCTGGCCAGGAGCTCAGGTTAAAGGAACCAAGGTAAAAGTCACAGAGAGAAATATCTGTCTGCCAAAGACTTTAAAAACTAAGCCATAGTGAAAAATATACGCCTCACTGCGAATCAGCACTGATAGTTTTGAACTTGAGCTGGAGGGAGGTGAAACAACTGATATCATATCAACCTTGAGAAAAAATCACCACATTCCACAAAAAAAGACTACATAAAAGACCAATATATGAGATTTTAAAAGTTCATTATGACAGCCCTCTATACAACTAAGTGGACAGGTTAAGAAAAAGATATGATTAGGCCCCAGGAAACTCAATCAATGACCATTGGATGTGACGACTGTCTGCAGCATGTATGAGTTTTTTTCCTTTCTTTTTATTTTTTTGCTGTAAAGGGTGTGCCTCTTATAGGAGACAGCGAAGCAAGAAGGGAGGGAGAAAAAAAGGAGGGGGTGGAGTGAGGTAAAGGAGAGGAATCCACACCCAAGCTTGTTGCTGCAGGCTTACAGAGGGAAGTACCTTTATATTTTAATTTAAGTCTCAGCAAAAGGTGCTGGACAGACAAGAAAAACACCTGTGCAATATAATCAACGCAAATAAACCCAACCCTCACATCAGCCCCTTTGCCATTTATCTTTTTTTTCATAGTGTGCGGGATACTACAGATGTAAAAATGTTTGTTATCCAAAACAAAAGCGTAATGTATATATATAAAGGCAAACCACTTTGCACAACAGTCAAATTACACTACACAAAGAAAAAGTGATGAGATATTAACTCTCCTCATCTAAAGGGACTACGTTCATATATGGGTCTTCTATATTCTCTTTAAAATGGTTGGTCCCGCAATTTTATGCACCTTGGATAACAAGCTTTGTGTGCAGTTGAAGGAAAAGTGAAGTGCGCATTCAAGTCTGCATTCATGTGGTGGCTGTGGGTACACACCCACTGCTCATGTGCTGCACCATTTTAGATCAGTAAGGTTATTATGATATCCACATTGCTGCCACTTTCAAATATCACAGAAACTCTCAAGCAACATTTCAAGTGTTCTATTTATAAAGGTAAACACCACAGCAAAATTCCCCTATAGGCAAACCATAGTATACCACAGGAGTTATAAAGTAGGACAAAGTCACTCTAACGCTACAACTGATACACAGTCTCAACCTCTAGCACCCACTGGAAAAGTTCAGGAAAGTTGAATTCACAACTTTGATACTAGTGCAATTTAGTTATTGAACTTCGTGTGAATGAAGTCCTATAATTACAATCACTTTTTAGGTAAAGCACAATAAGAAACAAAGTTCAGAAACTCATTCACTTCAGTCTGAGGTAATAAAAATTTGCATCTTTACCTTTGCGCAGTCTGTGCGCCCAAGAAGCCTCACACCAACTTGAGCATCCTGGAAAAACGTGTCCAGTCCCCAGTCCAAAAGCACTTCTTCACAGCTTTGCAGTCTGTTAGGATTCTGTCACTCCTTTCCTTTTTCTCGATCAACCAAGTTTCCAGGGCGTTTTCTCCCCCTCTCTCCCTCCCTTCTCTGATGTGAGTTGATTTTAACTTTTTCTTCTGTGTGGCTGAACGTCTGGGCTGAGCAGAGAGGTTGGACAGGGAGCTGCGTAGGACTCCTGTTTTGCAGAGGGAGGGGAATGCAGGGGAGGGAACCGGTGCGAGGGAGTGGTCCTCAGCAGCTGGGACCACCCACTGCTTCACACAGGGCTCTCCGATGACTTGGAACAGGAAAAGTAACTTCTGTTTTAAAACACATTCATTGTAAAATGCCTTAAATTAAATTTCGATGAATAAATCTGTTTATTTCACAGCAGTCTGTGCTTTTGAAAGTGCTGTTATCAAAAGCACTTAGACGGTCAAAGTGATCGATAACTGAGAAGATATTTTAATCCTAATGTGACAGGGGTTTTTTTGGAATGGCTTTGGATATTTTTGCTCCATTATTGCTGCCAACAATAATACAAAACTTGAAAAGATTTCTGACTGTTTTGAGCTAATTCAAGGCACACAACACACCTCACTATACATGCATACACTGGGATTAGCCTTTAACTGCCTTGCATAAATGCTTATACATCTCTGCAAGGCAGTTAACAGTCAAAATCCACTAAATCTTATTCTTGTTCCTGTTCCCCTTTTCCTTCTATGACATATTAAAAAAAACATCTAACTTTTAACTCAAATAGTTTTTCATCAGTTTTTGTCTCATGTTTCAGAATCAGATTGAAGTAAGCAGGGTAACACACCACAAAATGGTTATCATATGATAGACAATGACATAAACATGTTATTACAGCATCTAAATTACTGCACACAAACTCACAGAAAGTGATCATTAACAAAATGACTCAGGGAAGGAGTCCTTTACTTACGAAGAGTAAAATGTCTATTTACATGATTGGATTTTATGTGTTTCTCTTTGTTTTGTTATAAAAGGCCCACCATGAACCCAATCTTTTTGAATTGGAAAAGCTGCATGTTTTATATTAAATAACTTTATTTCTGTTTTGGATTTTTTTTTAAAGTTTATGGAAGCATACTTAAAAATGTAATTTTTCATCACACTTCATCACACTCAGATGAAAACAGCAATTGTAAATGCAATCTGAAAAGTTTTTTGTATAAGTACTATTCTGTCTTCCCTGCATTATTTTGTAATAGTCAGTGTCACAAGATTTTGTTAAAGTCTAAGTCTTATGTTCATTTCAAGTTTTTTAAGAATACTTTACATCCACGATGCAATATTTAAGTTTTTTTTTCCCTTTCTCAAAATGTTACCATGGATCAAATTTTAGTCTCCACACAGACATACAAGTCTTGTCTCTACAAGCTATGGTGCAGGACAAGTTAAAGCAAACTGACTCACTCTGAATATTAAAAAAAAAACTTGTTATTCTACACTTTCAAACTTTTGCTCTAGAAAACTCAAAACAAAAGAGTTGTGCAATGGTGAAGTTGAATATGTACAATACATCCGTTTCATCGCAGTGGAGAAATGAAAGTGATGCCATGAGGCGCTGAGACAGTGGCATATTGGGTGTGGCCTCAGGGTTATTCAGCCTGGGATTACAGGTAATATTGGGTCAGCAAATGACACCTTACAGGCTTATGAATGAAAATGTCAGATAAAATATGATTTCAGTAACTAAAACAATGTTTAAGTTGTCTCATGATGCCACCCAGCCCTGTAAATGAAACTTCCTCATGAACACCATCTGCCATGTTTCAAATGTTTTCACATTTTCAAATGTGAATATTGTTATGATGGTTTTATCACTGAGCGGAACTCTCACAGTTTAGGTTGCCATGTTCAAATGTGGAGAAGCAGAAGTTCATCCATTTATCCATGTTTTTTATATTTTTAATCACATATCCAGTTTTTTTATCTTTCTACCATACATCACTTTAACTATCAATATTTCAACTTCTGTTCGATCATGTTGAACCATTTCAACCATTTCTCTATTATTGCTTTAGCCATGTATCCATTACTTTGAGAATTTGTTGCTATTAAGCATTTAAACCATTTAGCTACCCATTGCTTATAGTTAACTATTTCAACCATTTTTCAGGGCCTTTTTCAATGTATCATATCCTAACATTTTTAAATAATTAATTCATAGCTTTGAGAGTTAAATATATACATTAATAACAATAATAATATTTAAATAATTTATTCCTGACATTTTCAATTAATCATATATTAAATGTACAGTGTGTAGAATTATTTCTTGTTGTTGAAAATGCATGTTGCAGCTAAACACCCCTCACTTCACCACATGAAAAAGAACCTGTGGCAGCCTTTAATTGTCATAAAAACTCAAAAGGTGTTTAGTTTGTCCAGTCTGGACTAATGTAAAAAAAAACATGGCGGCCTCCGTAATGAGGGTCCCCTGGATGTAAATATTAAGTATTTGAATATAAAGGGCCCTTTCTGGGGTAAAGAAAACAACAATTCATACAATTTAGATGAAACGAACTAGTGAAAACATAATTATTCTACATTAAATTTCTGCCAATAGTTCCCTTTGACCTAAATCTTACACACTGGACCTTTAAATTTAAATAGTTATCCATTACATTAAGCTAGCTATCTCAACTATTTACCATGTCATTTTCAATATATCAAATCTTAATATTCTCAAACTATTTATCCATCACATTCAATATTAAATCCATTACTTCTGGCTAACTATTTCAATTATTTTGCAATTACTTTAAGTTATCTATATCGAACATTTAGTAATTACTCTAAGTAAACTTTATCAAGTATTTATCCATTACTTTTACTTAACAATTCTAAACAATTTGGCATATTCATTGCTTTAAATGTTAATTAATTCTGTATAAGTATTTAACCATGAATACATATCTTCTAGCTAACTATTTCAAACATTTTAACCATTACATTAAGCTAACTTATTGAATTGTCTCTGCTTTCGTTCTAACTATTTGTTGAAACAATTGTGACTTTACATTTAACATTTTCACACTCAGCAATAACTTGCAGTGTTTCCTAGCTACAGTTGACTGAATATTAAACCAAACCACAACTCTATACTCACATATACATGTGGAACCCTGGTTTCCGTGTGTGCAAACTTCAGATGGGCTGTCCTGTGTGTTGTGGATGCGTGTGTTGTACGTGTGTGTTGGTGAACGTGGCCTCTGTGTGTGCTTGTTCAACTCTCACGTCAAAGTTCAGCGTCCTCGAAGCACTCCTCACCTCCTTGTCCACATTTCGCAACCACGTGCTCTGTGAGGTGAGACACTGGAAACAATGTGCTGCGAGCAGCGGAGGGAACAGAGGAAGTAACTCCGTGGCTCTGCGGGGTACGAGCAGGGAGTGGCACACACGTACATGTGCACGCGTGCCTCGTGCATGCACGCACGCGCGCACACACATTTTAATATTACCACATCACACCATTATGGCAGAGAGTTCTGATTTAGTTTTCTCTCCAAACAGCGGTCAGCTCTCCCTCAGAGGGAGGACCCACTGTTTGTTTACGTGTTTGTGTAAGTGTGTCATTCTGTGTGTGCATGTGTGTGCACACAGAGATAAAAGTAAAGGAGGATTCCCAACTAAGATAAGCAGAGACCCCCAAAGAATGTATGTGGTATTCACTCTTTGGACTGTAACAATCTTTTAAAGCAAACAAATGTAAAGGTCAGTGACACCTTTACCTCCTATTGGCAGCAGAGGACACTTGCTATGTTTATATATTAATTTATATCACATCATTCAAAGGACTTATGTCTCAGCAGGATTTGAAATAATGTGTCCATGCATTTCAGCGTTGCCAGATGGGAAATGTTAAAGTGTCGTACCAGAATTTTAAAATCATCGTATTTTGAGGAAAATTATCCAACACTACCAGAGGAAGGATAGGACGCTCAATAGTGATGTTTCGAAGTGATTTAGGCACAAGGCTCTCATTTTGAAACATGGCACAGGAAAGACTTGTGTTAAGCTAGCGGGATATGGCTTCACGGTGCGACGGTCTCGTTTATCATCACAAGCATGATGGGCTGAAAAGACATCACATCAGAAAAGATGTGTAAATACAGACGTGATCCATATTTTACTATCCAGATTACAACTGATAATAATAAGTGTCTCAAAATAATCAAATTATCATACATCATCTGTTATTGATCGTACAGAAGGCAAAACTATTGTACAAATATGATAATTATCATACATCTGGCAATAGTGATGCATTCATCTTCAGCTGATTTGACAAATAACATGATGTTTTTAGGGTGTCTCTAAAAAATCGAGCAGAAAGCTGCATCTGATTAAAAATGCAGCCTAACCCTAATAACAAAGCCTTTTTCAGATGAGGCCTCTGCAGCACAACAACACAAATCTCTGGAGCGTTCAGGTGATATCGACACCAGCATCGGCTCTTATCACTAAACACTCTCTTGACATTTACTTCACTGTCTTCTACATGTATGGTGCTGCTTTTTCATCCTGAGATATTTATTTTCTATTTGTTTTTACAAAGCACTGAATGGTTTGGCCAAACTACATTTCTAATCTACCGCTGTACGTTATGAACCATCCAGACCTCTGCTTTTTGTCAAACCTAATAACGGAGATGTACTGCCAGTTTTTTATGCTCTACATTCATAGAAAGAGTGCCCAGACAACAACAGGTCTGCCACAATTATCATCTTATTTTCATTTTTTATTCTCTATGTAATTCTTTTAAATTTCCTGCTAAATGCTTATGTTTTGCATTATCTTGCTTCTACAATTTAACAGGATTACTGATATACTGCCTTTTTGTTGAAATGTGCTATACGTATACATATATATATACACATTTTGTAATTGCTATAGATGTGTGTTGGTTATCCTCGGCACACAAAGTGACCTGCTACTGTACCTGTTTGCTCAGTTTCACGCATGTTTGACTTATCATTGAGGTGTGGCTGCGTTGTTGCCTTTGAAGAAGTTTCAGCTTTGAGAGTTTGCTGCTTCTAGACAGACAACTCCTATGAAGTGTGCGTGTGTAAACAGCAGGACTCCTGTCCCGTCTTTGTGCTGCTCAACGACTTTTCTGCAGGTTTTCCAATGTTTATGGTCACATAACAACCCCACAGTAAACACTTTCCCCGCTGTGTTACTTTACTGCAGAAGAACCATATTTGTTTTCCACTTATACTTTCTTAAACTAATGAGGTGAAAACGATTTTTA